ACATGAAGGGCCGACTATAGAGTTACAAATTATACTCGGATTTTCAACTGGGAGTGTGAGGGGCGTGTCAGCATCCCTGACCCCCATATTGAAGGATCAATTGTACATTTTCTTTTTTTAAAATGCTCACCCAAGGATATTTTTCTAGTTATCTTCAGATAGAATGGGAGGGAGAGAAAGAGAGAAACATCGACATGAGAGGGACACATCGACTGGCTGCCTCCCGTACAACCCCAACCAGGGCCGGGACCCAACTGCAACCAAGGTACATGCCGTTGGCTGGAATCGAACCTGCAACTCATTGGTCTGCAGGCCGACGCTCTATCGCTGAGCCGAACAGGCCAGGGATCAACTGCACATTTTCTGTTTCCTCAAAAAAATCAATTGCGGGGGGATGGCTGGTGTAAGGAGTCTACAAAGTCATAAAGACATCAAGCATTATCTGTAGAACAAGTTGAAAATATTACTATCATGTAAAAGCTTACAAAATGGCAGACTAGAGAACAAGTTACACACTGTAACTTCTCTAGAAAAGATTTCTTAGAAATCAGTCTATTTTCACATCTTTATCACCACAGATCATTCATGACCAAAGTAAAAAAAAAAAAACCTGTTTATTTTTTCCTAGAATGAGCCCGCTTTCTAAAATGTAAGACTGAGGCGAGAGATTAGATGCCCTCAGAGAAAGAAACAAAGTAAGTATGATAATTACAATAATTACTTACTGACCTTAGCAAGACTTCCAGTTCAATAATAATTCATCCATAAACAGGAAAAATATATACTAACTGTGTTGGTTATTAAAATGTCAAATTCTGCCCTGGCCCGTTTGGCTCAGCGGCTAGAGCATCGGCCTGTGGACCAAAGAGTCCTGGGTTCGATTCCGGTCAAGGGCACGTAACTTGGTTGCAGTTCGCCCCCAGCCCCGGTTGTGCGGGTGGCAACCAAAAGATATGTCTCACATCAATGTTATAAATAAATAAATAAAATGTCAAATTCTTTGATACTCCTCCCTTCAAGACATGCAGTTTACTTAATACTTCTCCCACTTGGCCATAGTCTGCACTTAGTGACTTGCTTTTAACAGCATGTACATGGCAGTGATGGTGTGGCTTCCTCCTTGCTCTTTCTTGGTTCACTATTTCAGGGGGAAGCCAACCACCAGGTTGTGAGGACACTCAAGCAGTCCAAGGGAAAAGAACTGAGACCTGCCAACTGAGCATTAAACCTGCTGGAGCGTGAGCCACCTTAGAAGCAGGTCCTCTGGCCCAGTCAACACACTGACAGTAACCTCATGAAAGACAATTGACTCAAAACCACCTACCTAATTAAGCCACTCCCAAATTCCTGACTCACACACTGTATGAGATGAACAAATGATTTCAAATGTTGAACCCTGACCCACTTGTAATTGATGAAATCAATTTAAGGCACCACAATCAGCTTTAAAAAAATAAATGAACCAGTTAGAAAAAAACAGCATAGTATATAACTGATAAGTTCTACTTCCCAATAATTTTGTTTCAACTTCACGTGTGTGTGTGTGTGTGTGTGTACCAGGTAGCATTTAACAAAATATATTTCCTAGAATCACAACTGAAAAAGTTTGAAACCCACAGCCTACACTTAGGTTTAAGATAAAACATTCCCCCTCTGGCCAGTTTTGCTCAGCGGTTAGAGCGTCGGCCTGCGGACCAGAGAGGCCTGGGTTTGGTTCCCACTAAGGGCACGTACCTTGGTTGCAGTTTGTCCCTGGCTCCAGTTGGGGTTGTGTGGGTAGCAGCCACTTGATGTGTCTCTCTCAACATTGATGTTTCTCTCTCTCTCTTCCCCCCTCTCTCCCTCCTGCTCCTATCTGTAGATAATGTAAAAATGTCCTTGGGTGAGGATGAAAAAAAAAAAGATAAAAACATTCCCTAAAGTATAGGAACTCTTTGAAGGAATATGATCTCAACAACAACCAACTATACAATAAGCATTTCCTGTACATTTTATAACCAAACCAATGAAATATAAGACATTCTCAAATTACATCTTTTCTGATTTACATTAAACACAAAAGGCATGGTAGACTTGTTAAGTCTAGCATGTAAAAAGCATGTCATATTCCAAGTCTAAGAGGTTACCCATAAAATTATGCAGTGAAAAGCTGCTCTGCGATCTACCCAAATTTATTACTTCCTCTATTACTTTAATAATCAATGTTAATAGAAATTCCATCTTCAACCTAATCGCACACACAAATTTCTGCGAAAAACAAGTACAGTATTACTTTCTCTCTGCCCACTGTCCGAGTCTCACTGCAACTATCTTCTTCAGAACACAAGCAAGCACATACTCTTCTCATTGTACCTCAGTGTAACACATCAAAACTTTCAACACTACAAGAGTTTGCAGAATATTTATGCGTAACAACTTTTGATGAATCCACTCAGATTATTTGCTTGCACTATGATTTTCTTTAAAAATGTGTGAAACTATTTTTTGAACACCTAATTTGCCAAATGTATTTCCAAAATGCAAACTGAATCGGCACATAAACACTAAACAGACGATTTAACTTATTTTTCTTATTACTTAATTCAGGGCATTTGTGGCTCTCCCTCAACCAGACTAGTAGCTTTCCTTGGCCCTATCCTGATTTATACTACTAGCCCTTCCTGCGGACTACATTTTCTCCCCAACCTGTGCATATGTATCCATTTAAATATTTCTACTTCAACAAGTTGTAGAAGGCAGATATAATCTGTACAGCGTTCCTTTTAATGCTATGACTTGATGGTGACTAAACATCAAAATAATTAACATACTTGTCCAGCTGGTGTGGCTCAGTGGTTGAGCGTCGACCTATGCACCAAGAGGTTGCCAGTTCGATTCCCGGTCAGGACACATGCCCAGGTTGTGGGCCTGATCCCCACTGGGGGGCATGCAGGAGGCGGCCAATTGATGTTCTCTCTCATCAACATTTCTATCGCTCTCTTCCTCTCTCTCTAAAATCAATAAAGGAAAATTTTTTTTAAAAAATAACAATAATTAACATACTTGACAAAATCCAAGTATGCATGCCCATGCCTGGAGAGAACTAACAACAAAGCAGCCCATTTCTAAATTCAATAATAGCAGCTCTTGAAGAAAAAACTAGGATGGTCCTTGACAGCACTTTCTCTAGGAATGAGATGGAGTTTCAGGAATAACCCCTGGGTCCATTTTTATACAATTACATTCAGTGTAGTCCTGAGAAACTAGTCACTGATTTTGAGAACATAGTTTCTTTGACTCATAATTACTCTGAACACATAGGCAGGTTTCTACCCAATGGCTTTAATCTAAAACTTTAGCATTAGTTTTGCCCACTTTTTCCTTTAGTTTCTCTTAAAACAGTTTGCCCTCCAAGTGAGCACTCCATCAGATCATAAATGTGAAAGTTCAGAGTCAAGGTCTAAAAGAACCAAGAACTCAAAGATCTTTAACTATGACTTTCTACCAATCAAAATCACTTTAGTTTCCTATTAAGATAAAACAGATCTCAACTGGAGAGCCAATCCAAGAAACCAGGCATGTCAGTCTGAAGGCCAACTTTGATGTTTTAGTGATAGTGCACTAGAAATACTTATATCAGGGTCAGAATTTGGATTTGTAGGCAGACATTTAACCACTCAACAAGTCATTTATCTAGCTGATCAAAGAACAAGAAAAGTTCAAGGCAGGTATGCACTAAATCTATTATTCACTTTTGGACCACTATAGTCACACAGCTGCTTATTCTTGTCTTCAAAGAAGGAAATAGTCATCAATAGCATCAGAATAACTAACTGGATTACTAAATCAAACTCAAGGGGTACTTCTGTATGTTAAATTAGCTGTCTTAAGATAGTAAGCGTGCCTTAAATATTTGTGAACTATGTGCCAGGGCACTGTGCTATGTAAATCAAAACAGGTTAGACATCAAATCAAGGACCCTATAACCCTGTAACCAAGATAACATGCTTTAAAACCAGAGTACCCTGGAAACTTGCTGCCTCTATTCCCTTAAAAATCAAGCCACATTGTTTTTTAAGTCTTCAAAATACTATACATTAAAATAAATAAATGATTAAATCCAGTCCTCAAAGGACTAAACTGTGCTTCCCAAGATATAAAATTCTAGCAAAATGGCAATCACTCAACAGTAAACTTTAAAATGTTAAGAATGGCTATCAGAGAATCCAAGTCCTTTGCCTGCCCTCTTACATTTCAGGACCTCCTTGTAAAAAGATTTCAGGACCTCTACATTTACAGAATGACCAACTCTAGAATCCACTCCAGCAGTACCTCTGAAACCAAACTTGAACAGGAGTAAACTTTTCCTAAGTAACAAACATGCTTTGCAATGATGCTATTGATATTTTTGAACCAAAGCTTCAAAAACTAAAACCCAACTACTGAATAAACGTTAAATTAATCCTAAGAGAAACGTCTTAGACCACACTCGGCTAGTCTATGTTAGCACCTCCACCTCTGCACATAGCACAAGCATTTCTACTTCAGGATGACTTTCCGATGACCATTGATGAAAAAAGGTATTCGTGATTTATAATCATCTTTCTGGTTCTCAAGCCCACTCCATTTGAAGTCTTAAAATGAAAATTTGTGCTAATACGGGAAGTCAATGGACAAAGGTATAGGCCAAGAGATGTCAAGCAGGACCTTGCAGAAGGATCCGACCACCAGTTCTCCATCCCTTCCCCAAGTATCTCCAGGGTCGTCCTACCTAAACATTTATGTAAACATGGAGCTTGTGACTCAAGCCTCCATCCCCAGTAAGTGGAGAGAAGTTTCCTCGCCTCGGCTGCACATGGTTTGCAGAAGTTTGGCTGAAGCAGAGAGCGGAGCCTGGGTGGGAGCGGCAGTGTAGTTAGTGCTGCAGGCGGCGGCGGCGGCGGCAGAGCAGCAGGAGGCGGAGGCGGAGGCGGGCGGGGGGAGGGGAGGCGGCGGGAGGGGGGGCGGAGGGGGCTCTTGCCGCCACTGCTCTCTCGCCGCCTTTCCCCCCCGGCGGGAGCCGCTCTCAGCCTCTTTGCACTAGTCGCTCCGCTCTCTCGGTCATGTGACCTTAACGTAACCGGACAGGAAAAGCCCCGCCGCCGCCGCCGCCGCCGCGCCGGAGACACCGACCGCGGCGGCAGCAGCAGCAGCAGCAGCGAGAGGCAGAGGCGGCGGCGGCGGGGAGAGCACGGCCAAGGCTGCCCAGCGGTGCCTCCTCCACACCCCCCGCCGCAGCAGCACCGGCGACAGGTAAGCGCGCACCGCCTCCGCCTCCCGGGGCTGGTGCCCACGTGCCGCCCCTGGCCCGGGCTCCGGGAAGGCGGAAGGGGGGCGGGGGCCACCGGAGCTCACAAACGGTTCCGGCAGAGACGGTGGCAACAAAGAAGACGAATGACCCCCGTCCCGGGGCTCTGGGTGAAGGCAGGCGGAGGGCCCGGATCACTCGGGGACCCGGTTCTGGGAAGTGAGGGCAGGGGCGCCCCTGGGGGCGGCGGCGGCTGCGCCTGGCGCCGGGGCTCTGGCCGCCTGACAAAACCATCCCCCGGAGCCAGGCGGCGGCGAGTCGGCAGCGGCTCCATCCGGGGCTTTGCGGGAGGGGGAGGGGACGGAAGCCGAGAGGGCGGGCGGCGGATCGCAGGAGGGAGGGAGAAAGAGGAGGGGGCGATTCGCGTTCCGTTCCCCGTCGCCGGTCCCTCCCTCCCCGCCGCCACCGCGAAGTGCGTCCGAGCGGCGGCGGCCGGTGAGCGTTCCGCGCTGGAGCCCCAAGAGGTTGGCCCGTCAGGTGCGTAATCCTTCCGACGCCTTGCCGCCGCCTTCTGCTGCTGCCACCGCTGCTTCTTCGGCGGCAAGGCCGCGAGCTGCGGAAGTGGGTTTGGGGGAGGGGAGCGGAGAGGGAGGGGGAGGGGAGGGATCCGGTCCGACCGGAGCAGGCCCGGCCTCTCTGGCGCTTCTCCCAGCTGCAGCGGCTCCTACAGCTGCTGCCGCTACTGCTGCGGCTCCGCCTCCCCGCCCGCGGGCGGGGGCGCGCACGCGCGCTTCCGGCCTCTTTGGGTCTCGCGCTGTCTCCGGCTCTCGCGCGCGCTCTTCCTCTCTCCTTGTCTGGCCACCTCCCGCCCCCGGCGCCGGGACTGTTGCGCCGGCCGGGGCGTTGCGCACGGCGTAGGCGTCGGCATTGTGTTAAACTCCGCGGGACTTTGGGAGAGCGCGCTCGCGCACGCGGGACGGCGCAGCCTGAGTGCGTCGCCCCTCCCCTCCTTTCTCAGTCCCTGGAGGATAGGGGCGGGCCGGGGTGCGCGGCGCCTGCCCCTCCGGGCCCCCTCGGCGCTGGCTGGCTCCGCCCCTCGGGGCGGGGCGGGGCGGCGCGGCGCGGCCGTTGGCTCTCTCTCCGGCCGGCCGGGGAAAAGTAGGCCTTCCTAGGGCGCCGCCTTGGTCGCCTGCCGTGGCCGGGACGGCGGGTTGGGGTGCGCCGAGCCGGAGGCCTCGGGCTTCCGGTCCACGGGCGATGTGTGCCGCCGATTAGGCCCAGACCCACGCTGTGGTTTCTGGCTGCTCTGCTTCGCGGCCTGGGACCGGCGTCCGAACCGCGCGCCCAGCCGGTGCAGCCCTCACAGCCCGAGGGCTCCTACCAGGGGAGGGGAGGTCAGGGGTGCTCAGGCCGCTTCCCAGCCCCGACTCGTTTTCTCTGTGTAGCGAAACCCCCAAACCATTAATGTTTAAACAAGGCTGCGAAAGAGAACTGCTATTTCTGGAGATGCTTAGGAAGCAAGGTTTTTGTCGCTTTTAGCTGGTAGTGAATTAAAAAGGGCAATAAAGAAGAAAGCAAGGGTAGCAGAGCAGGCAAGAAAGTGGGCAGAGTGAAATAGTTATTGCTACGCCATTGATTGCAACAACGTCCAACTGCTGAACTCCTAATTATGCCTTAGGGAAATTCCGCTAGCTCTTTGCTCCCCCCACACGTCTGCAATGTTCATCTGCTCATCGTAGTGTGAGCTCGCTTAGTGTATGCGTCTCAGTTGTATTCATTTTCACAGGTTATTGTCTTAGTGAAATAAAACATTACAAAGTAGGAATTACGGGCTCACAGAACTCCAAGGTACTCTGGGTATCCTTGATTGGGTTGCCCTGTCCTTCCTAGGACGACCATCCATGTTGACCCTGACGCAGCACACAGAGCAGGGTGCACATGCACTGACATTTCAATCTGAGAGGCCTGAAATTTCAATAAAAACTCAGGCCCTGGCCGGTTTGGCTCAGCGGTTGGAGCGTCGGCCTGCGGTCCAGAGAGACCCGGGTTCTGTTCCCGCTAAGGGCGCGTACCCCCGTTGCAGTGCAGGTTGTCCCCGGCCCTGGGTCGTGCGGGAGGCAGGCACTCCATGTGTCCCTTTCACGTTGATGTTTCTCTCTCTCTCTTCCTCTCTTTCCCTCCCACTCTATCCGAACAAAAAATGGAAATATGTCCTCAGGTGAGGATAAAAAAAAACAAACTCAGGATTAAGACATTTTAAATTCTCATTTCTCTCGTTTATTACAAACCAAAATTAATTGTTAAATTATATTTTGCATTCTAAATAACCTTGGTGTCTATCAAGGGTGTTTTCAAATTGTTAAAAGGTGATTTCTAAGAAGAAAGAGTGACTAATACTACATTCCTTTAAACTGGGCGTTTCTCATTTAATGTGTGGTTTCTGTAAGTTCATCTTCCAGCCAAAGAATTGACCTGTTACTGAAACCATTATAAGATCTCAAAGTACAAGATGTAATATACCAGTGGTATTAAGTGCCACCAACAGTCAGCAGTGAAGGAGTCCTTAAAGGGTGGCAGATAAACCACCCCGAAAGCTTTGTTGTACGGCACAACCACTTACTTGCTAGCTTCTCTTGAGGAGGGTGTAAATAGGTAGATGGTGTTCCACAAACTCTTCCACCAAAATCCTCCAGCAGCAGAGAACAAACACTGGGCATATTTTCAGTCAAAGAATAAAAACTTCCGTGGTAATAGTTTCTTTTTTATTTTAAAGATTAATGTTTTGCACTGCCCTCCAAATTCTGCGCTCTTGTACTATAAACATTCTATAAAATAATATAAAATTGTATTCGCCCCAACCCTCTACGAATATGTACCTTGAGAACACTGCACATGGCTGCATGAGGGACCCTCTCCTGCCATCTCCTGCCTGTCTCGCAGTGCTTCATCCCTGGACCTCATCTTTCCCTGAAGTAACTTTGAAACTCTGGGCAAGTAGATACTCCAAATCCCCAAAGTGATTCTTCAACTCTTTATGCTCAAGTAGGTTATAATTTGTATTAGCAAATTAAACGTAAATAATTAAAATGTTACTTTTGAATCAATAGTAAATAAGATCCAGTGTTTTGTGATGCTAATCGGCAATTAAGGGATGGAGTTAGTAGCCACAGAACACTTACCAAGAGTTGGCAGTCCGAGACATTTACAACCATTTTTTTTTTATGGTACAAAAACCAAGTTAGAGGCTGGTATCTATACTCAAATACATAATTCCCAGTTCACATGCATGAGGTATGTATGTGTGTGACTTACTTCAAAAAAACTCAGCCCTGGCCAGTTTGGCTCAGTGGTTGGAGAATTGGCCTGCAGACCAGAGAGTTCCAGGTTTGGTTCCCACTAGGGGCACGTACCAAAAAAAAAGAAAATTCAGTGTGCAGAGATAGGAATTTGTAAAGCACTTTCATGTATCTGATTAAGTACTTATGTAACAACTGTTTTTACTTTACAAAACTTAGTGTACCGTTCTTTTGAACTGTATTTGACCCTAAGTTCTGCACCAAGAAAAGGTGAGCATCAAAATGGTCCTGAGAACGATTTCAAAGTGTGCATGTGTTCTCCTACTTCATTCCTAGTCACTTAGATTCTCCAAATCCCTAAAGTGATTCTTCAACAGGAGTTGTCTGAGTATCATTTGCAGTCCCTTGTGAAGCCCCAGGACCCTTTCAGGGTTCCATGAGGTCAAAACTGTTTTCATAATGATGCTAAAATGTTACTGACCGTTTTTACGGTTTAAAAAATGTGTCCACGTTGAGAAAATCCACATGACTCAATGAGCTGACATTTCCAAATGACCAATGGATGATGTTAAAAATCACACACAGATAAGTGCAAGATGGAGCAATGAATTTTACTATAATAGAGTAGGAAAATATCATTCATTGATGTATTTTTAGATCACACAACTCTTAAGAAATGAACACTTATCAAGTTTTGATGTAGTATCAAAGAATATCCACAGTTACCTAAAATGGCTATTAAAAATTCCTCTTTTTCCAATTGTATAGTTGACTTAGGCTGGATTTTCTTCAATACTCAACCAAAATAGATATCACAACAGAGTCAGTGGAACGCAGAGTAAATGCAGAATCCAGTTCTCTCTATTAAAAAGATTTGTAAAAATAAAAGAAGATGCTGCTTCACTAATTTTTTGTTATTTTGGGGGGGAGATTATTTTTTTCCATAAAAATATGTTAACACATTGTGAGCTTATTTAAAAAAGGGGTCCCGATGCCAAAAAGTATGAGAACTCCTGTTCTAAAATACTGAAATAAATTAAGACTTTGAATGAAAATACACTTGATGCTCCTCTCTGGCATATGCTGAGCAATACCTATAGGTGATTATATTTTCTTCAAATTACTAATCATCATACAGCTTTTTAAAGAGGAAGGCAATCTCTGGTAGGTTATTAGAAGCAAATTAGATTAGGTTTTAAATGTTGCTGTGTAGGTTTCCTTAAAGTTGATTATAGCATAATGCCTTTGGAGTTATCACGTTAATATGAACTCTTTATTAGTCATAAATATCTGACCTGCTTCCTTCCCCTTGACACCTGAACTGTCAGAAATTAAAAACTTATTTTTTCCTCTCTCTGTGAAGGGAGGGCGAGAAAGAGAGAGAGAGAGAAACATCGATGTGAGAGAGACACATCGATTGGTTGCCTCTCACATTGCCCCATTAGGGGCTGGGATCGAACCCAGGTGCATGTACTTGACTAGGAATTGAACCCAAGACCCTTCAGTTCGAGGACTGACACTCTTTAACCACTGAGCCAAATGGGCCAGGGCCAAAAACTAATTTTAATATTAACTTAGACAATATATAATTGAAAAGACAGATTTTGTACAAATGCAATGCTTTCTGAAGTGAAAATAACTGCTATTGGTTAGTTTATGTCCCTCCTTTTGTTCTAATTACTGTAGAAAAGGATTGACTAAAGAAATGT